AACGAGTCGAGAAGCATCGAGAGCAATTACGAAAGAGAGAGGTAATTCGACGATAGCCGACTAGGAAATTAATAGAACGGTAAACAAGTCGTGGTCTATCGACTCGATCGACGCGCGGACCCCCTTTTCAAATTGCTGTCCGACCGATAATCGGAGCTGCTCTCGAGCGCAGGCGCGGGCGCGCGATTTATAACTTCCATCTCACGGGCCTTTTCCGAGAGAATCGTTGAATCTTGGTAATGTACTCGGTTCATTCGTTCCACGTCGTGGTTCTGGATCCACGACTTCGGACTTCGGCTCGGTCTCGACGATCCCGTGGCGCCACAACGTTCAACCCGCGCTTAATAGTTTCCACTTGGAGGAAGCCTTCGAGCCCCGTAGGCTTGGCGATAAATCGCGTTATGGGATTTATCAGAGTGGGATATTCGTTGGCGGAGTGGCCTTTGGCGAGTGGGAAACGTAGCGTACGCGGACTAAACGAAACGCGAGGTAACGAAAGCGAGGAAAGAGAATAAAAGCGAGGGACAAAGGGGTGAAGAAGACGGCGGGGGAAGAGAGGAGAGAGAAAGAGAGAGAGAGAGAGAGAGAGGGAGGAAGAGGAGGAGGCGAGCGATCGAGAATTCAGAGAGCAGTCGGGTTTACCGACCGGAGCGCTCACTGACCCCTGACGGCTCCGGCACCAAAGCGGACGTCACGAGAAACCTTTACCTTCGTTACCTTGCTAGTATTTAAGGATCTTCCTTGGCGTGCCGTACGTACGGCTATGCAGGCATTTAGATCTTTATCCGATCCTCCCCGTCAGGAGCGGGTACTCCAGTGAACCTGAAACCTCCTCGAAAGCCATTATCGGTTCACGAGGAGGTACTAGCCGCCCGCTCAATTGCCTGTGAATTTCTGCCTCTCCTGCCTCGTCCCGAAGTGTGCTGTAATAGGCAAGGAAACAACGCAGGACAAAACTGTTCGAATATTCAGCCAAGTTTCGTATTTCGCGGCTACCAATTATTCTCTTGTCGTTTCGTTAAGCCAGCTCGTCGTTCTGTCGCTTCATCTGCACGTACGTCAACGATCCCCGCGTCAAGTAATCAGCCAGTTACTCGAATTCGCGCGAGTGCAAGCGTTCCTGGTCGCAACCCTCGGCAACGCGAAATTGCTCGGTCGTAACACGCGTTTCGGGAACCGTCTTCTTCAATCGAGCCAGCTCGCGCAGCTCCCGAGCCAGTTTTGCCCGTTATCTTGACTCATCACTTTCCTTTGAAGACCACCGAAACGACGCGATCGAGGACGAGGGATGGGGACGCTTCTCGATCAGTTATTTATCAACGGGGCCTCTCTGGTCCTTGACGTTTCTTGCGATCAGATCGTCGTTTGATAACGGTACACACGTAACCAACGCGTTCGGTTCACTTTCCATCCGTGGCCGCGCGATCGCGTACTCGCTGGCTTTTTCACCCTCCCTCGTACACCCGAGTAATGACAGAAAATTGCCGTAACGAGAGTGTAATGTTTCCCGGTGAAATGTCAAGGATACCCTTTGAGAATCTGTTCGTTCGGCGGCGCACGTTTCGTGTGCGCGCCGCGGAAAAAATCCTCTTCCTTTTAAAGCCTCGACATGCGGCAGCACGCGTCGGTTGCCACAGCGTGGTTTCGTCATTTCGAGCGTGTCACATTGGATCGAAACAAAATTTTCGATACGAACACCAAGTCTGGAGGATTTAGACTCCGAAACTTTTACATAGACGCGCGATTGAAAAGACTTTGGGAGACGCCTTTTGAAGCTGAATAGACCGGCAATAACAACTCTCAGGCAACAGAAATCCGTGTAGCGGTGGGTTTATCCATCTGAGCGAAGAGTAGTGCAACGTGTTCGACATCGTCGATCGTATGATCCGCTGGAGCATTCCCTCTAATTTTCGCCGAGGATCAGATGTAATTCCTCCGGTTGATTCGCGCACGCTCTCTCTCTCTCTCTCTCGCCCCTCGAGGAATAGCTGTTAAAACTCGCGTCGACCGTAGAGAATAGCCCGCGCAGCGTTATGCATCATTTATTCAGCGGCCGAGAATGGGGCGCGCGTGTTCTCCCCCGAGGCTCGACAGACAGCCCGCAGAATGACACCGACGTTGTGCGTTGGTTCGCGGGACCCGCGATAGACTCGTGTCAAGGGCAGTAACCAGAGAATCGCATGCCATTTATCACCGCTCGCCGCGGACGTATTCTTAAGTGGATACCATTGTTCGAATACTTCCACGCAGATACCATCCGATGCGTCAATCGCCACGATGGAAAAACGCGGCGAACACGCGTACGTGCGAACCGTTCGTTTCGTTTCAAGAAGCTTCGTCCGGGTCTCGCGATCCTACCAGTCGCACGGTCGAGCTGGTTCACTTGCTTAAGCAAGTTCTAGTGCCGAGCGAAAGTATCGTACCTAAGCGAACAATACCGGGCAAATTTAACGAATTTGCTAAGGTTTGAGAGAAAAGCTCGTAAAAATCAAACTAAGAATGATATTTGCAAAATTCGAAAAGCAGCATATTACGAAATAAAGAAAGAATAAAGTGATGCCAATTGTATTTCAATATTTGTTGGAAATCATGTGAAAAACATAGAAATGAGTCTCTCTTTTAAAAACAATATTTGCACATAAGAATAATCATCGTTTTCGTGATCACAGCTTTATGTAGATCACGTAGTATGAAATATAATATCGGACCTTAAAACTAAAGGATAACTCCATGATGCACGGCTACAAAACAAGTGATTCGTGTAGCTAGTATAACGTTACTGGAAGAAATTTTTAGTATTATTATAAATATTTATATTTAGTTATCTACAGAAATGAAAAAGGGACTCGTAAATGTTGAACATAGAAGTGAATACATGCTTTTTAATATGAGTAGTGCGCTAAATGAAACCAGAAACAGCTCTTTAAGGCGCTCTGCAATATTAATGTTTGATCATGAGATTGTACGTTTGTGTCATTTTCATTGCAGCGAACCGTACAAGTTCGTGATGAATCGCATCTCGATGGAAATAGTCGACTCCTTATTCACGTGTTCGATGTCGGTATCGTAGATTCACTTTGATTAACTTACACTCTCAACTGCGGTGCCACTTTTAAAAGTCTGTGTGTATCTAAATTGTAAATAAAAATTGTAAATAAATTGAAGAACGACGCGAGTACGTGCAGTTACATGCTGTAAAATTGAATTACATTGTAAGGATGTAACTAGTGTTTTCGAAAAATCGATAACTTTATAATTGTATAATAATTGATGTTAATAGCAAGAAAATATTTAGGAATGATGTAAAACGAACTAGTCAAGTCTAGTCTCAAAATATTCTAAGATTTATAAGTATGTTTTATTTTCCACGAAAAATTTGGTTCCTCGTCATTGCATAAAAAATTGCCATTTCTTCACGACGAATATACTCGTCATTCACAGCTAAGAGGATAATTTCTAGCCAATCTTTCAAGTACGAGCCGTTTACGGATCGTTCATCTGACGTAGTTCATCTAAAAAGTGATGAGATTGAAACGTAGAACGATTGATGTCAACCCGTTTCTAAAGCGGGAATAATAGTGATCGCGACAGAGCAAAACGAACGTTTAGAACTTCTTGCATGAAAAGCGAACGAATCGTTGCCCTTGGTCGTGAATATCAAAAATAAGACAATAAATTTCTCCATAAGAAACCTAGATCGTCCTTGGTCTAGAAGATTCTAAACGAGACGTAAGTATAGATAGTTTCTAGTACAATGCGATCGTCTCGCGATGCACTAGAAAATGGCCCAAATAGGGAGGGAGGGGAGTAGGCGATTCGTTTCCATCGAACCGAGGGAAATCGACGGGTTTCCGGCGGGGCAAAGTGAAACGGAGCACGACAACGCTCGATCAACGTCGTAATCGGGTCCGCGCAGATCTGTAACTCGATTACGCAAACTAATGATAGACAGCGACGTAGCAGCATTTACGGATTATTTCGAAGGCTCGCTGCGGGAAGATCCGAGAACCGGATAGCGAGGTGCCAAGTTTCATAAGCACGTCCTTGCTTATCGGTCTGTCCGTATCGGCCAGCTCCTCTCCCCTGCTCCCTGGTTCTATAAGCTCGGTAACGTACAGTACACACAATGAGCCGCGGAACGGCACGCTGGAAACCGTCTAAACGGCTTATCAGCCTTCATCGGGTAATATCGGTGCTTGAACCTTAACGTAATGGTTATGAGTAATAGCCAGAGATGGCGGCGGCGCGGAGCGGGGTCGGATCCGGTGAACCGTACACGGAATACGAGATTCAGATACAGGTACCAAACTTAACAGGCCGCGGCATTATCCGTTACGCATTATCCGGCTTACTTGGCCAGCGTTTTCTGCCACTGATTTGTCTATTGTGCCGCCACGACGATCGTTCGTGCGATCCCGAATTCGAGTCTGTTCCGGGCGAGATGCAAAATCAGCGAACAATACCGGTCTCCACCGGTTACGTAAGGATCTCTCTGGTCCACTTGTCGTTAGAGAGCCCGATACTGCTTCGGAGTATACAATTCCGTTGACGATTGTTCGACTGTACGGACGGATCCGATCGACTGGCCGAACCGGGTCCAAAACCCGGATGTTTCTTTTAGTAAATTCGATTTCTTTCATCTTCTTTCTCTCCTCGTTCGTTGATCAGCTCGCTCCTTGAAGAACGATGATCCATGATCCGGTCTGTTGATCGTCCGTATTATCCCGGGCATTTATCATTCGACGAACGCGCAATACGTGCCTTTTAATCTACTTTAGAGCAATTTCCTACTGCCGTTTGTCTACGTATTTTGTAATTTTCATTGCATGTTACGTACACGGTGAGATCAGTCTGCTTTCAGCACTCTGTCTGAAACGAAAATACGTTGGGTAAACGCCGGTTTCCCGGATCGAGCGCATCGATCTCAGCGACTACTTTCGCATTTCACGGTTTCGTTTCTCAGGTCGGCCGTGCAGAAATTACACGTTAGGACGACGACGAACCTTCCGATCGTTTCTTACTCTTGGATTAATCGAACTGCGAGACCGGCGGCGAGCAGAGTGGCTCGCACTCTGCTCAGATGTTCGTCGATTTAAAGCTCATTAGCATGATTTACATAAACGGAAGTTCCATTAAAACGAGCCTAACGGTCGGCCGAGCCGACTTACTTTTCCCTAATCGCGGCACGTCGGTGCCTCGCCTGCATCGTTCGATTTCTCACGTTCCCGCTGATAAGATCGCGATAAAATGCACGCGTAACAGTGTATTCGTTCACGCGACCTCGCGTCCGACAAATAAAGTCGCTAGCGGAGGAACGTAGCGGAGTATTTATCGACGCGGATTCACGCGAATACGCGACGAGCACGAGCGCCGAAAAAGAAAATCGGTTCATCGCCGCGACGATTCGCGAGCATTTTGCGCGGTTTGCAAAGGTCTTCGAGTTAGATTTTTCTCTGTTAAAAAAAAAAAAAAAAAAAAAAAAAGAATCACTAGGAAGCGTAGAAATCACTCCGGCGAATGAGTGAAACGGCCGAAACTTCTGAAACTCATACGAAAGAATTCCACTTCGTAAGCGTAAATGTCATTGAATAACAAAGTTTAACTAGAAGATCTACGAAGGAGGAAGAACAAGAGAGTGCTCTTATTTCGATAAGAGGTAACTGTTACCCGAAGAGATTCAAGTCGTGCTCGACTATAGTATTATACTACCAAATGACTCGATTAAAATGCACCCCCCACGAATCTACATATCCTCTGAAACAACAAAAACGCATTCATCCCCGGATCACTGGCAAAAAGAAAGAAAAAAAAAGGAGAGAGAGAGAGAGTATTGTCGAAAGGGGATGGCGAATAAAGTCCGTGGAGTTTTATCGGATGGATCGATAGAAGCGATAAATATGCGCGTATGCGGTTGATTGGACGAAGCGCGACTGCGATCGGTCGTCCCGATGACCAGACAAACACGAGCCAAGGGGAAAAGAGGCCGAGAGGCGGAGGGTGGAAGGATCCGAAGAAAGAGAAGGCGATTCATTAGTCGTACAACACGGAAGTGTTCGAACCGCACGGTTCCTCGACGTCGTGTGTCGGCTCCGGCGGTCGATGTATGTAGGTGTGTGTGCACGTGAGAGAGAGAGAGAGAGAGAGAGAGAGCGTGTGTGCGTGGCCAAAGTCGGCTGTGGCCCCGGAGGAGGGCCTTATTATGCGCGACGGGGCCCCCCTGGACGAGGCGAACTCGACGTTTCGGTCGATCCGGCTCAACATTAAAACACGGAATATATTGCGGTAATTCTTTCTGTTCGACTCTGCCGGTCGAGGATCGTGTATCGGCAGAGCCACCGCTTGCTCTTCCTCTTTCCTTAAGCGGATGGCAAATCAGAAGGACGCTTCTCGGCGAGTCTACGGACGAACGCGTAGACTCCAGCCGCGGGTCCAGACGTTCCAACGACGCGAAACGCTGCTATCCCGATCCGTCCCCTGTTAGCTACAATTTCAAAGCTCTCACGTACGTCCTCGCTTCGAAACCTCGCTACTTTCACGATATGTCGTGCCGTTTCTTTCTTTCATTTTTTCTTTTTCTTTTTTTTTTCTTCTTTTTCTTCTTGATTCATCGAGTCATTCTACCTAAAGACTTCTTCGTAAACGGAAGAACGGCTTTGTGAAGAATTTTCTTCACGCGTCTGTAGCAATGTGCACGATTTAGAGGCTCGCCAGAATTTCGTTCGCTCTGTTAGATCGGCCGGTAAAGATTAATAAGAACATCGCGATCGTCTAGTCCGGCGAAGGTGGAATTTATTTGGAACACGATAGCGTTATTAATTCACCGTGGTCCTTCGGACAGACCTCGTTGTTCCTCGGACTCGTGCTTGTTACCGTGTTGTACCAATTTACGATGTCATTCCCGGTGTGTTTCGCCGTGTGAATCGTTTATCGACTGTCCCGGCGCGGGAATAGTTCCGTCGTGTGTTGCGGTAAATAACGAGGCTACACGCGCCCCGAGCTCTTCGTTCGCGCTCTTCGATCGGGGATGCGGAGAAAAAAAATCCACGATCTAAATCATTTTTTTTCCCCCTCCGAGCCACGTTTACCGGATCGCGTGGGCGACTCCTCGGTATACGAAATAACGTTTGAATTATGATAATTCCGTCGGACGAAAACTTGAAACATCCTGCTTCGAATTTAAACAAGCAGCTCGAACAAATGGTGCTGACCAATAACTAACGAGAACTCTCGTTTCTCATTCGACGCGTTAACCACAAAGATCCTTTTCATCCTCTGCCTAAACTCGGCTGCAGAGACTCGACGTCCGCCCACTGCTACACACTCCTGCACCGAGTATTTCGCAAAAAGCCTCGGTCTCATAAATAATTGCCAACCAGTGCGGCGTTTCTTGGCACTCGTAGCTAAAAGGTGTCGCGGTTTTTACGAAGACCGAGCGAGGATCGCCTACATACGCACGATCTATCTGAGCCCACGGTTGGCTGTACTCGTTGCCTCGCGATAATATCTCGCGACCGTTTCTCGAACTACAAATGATAATTACTCTCACGGAGATGCTCGTGCTCGTCCTCGCGTTCACGTTGAAATCACGACGAGCAGGCTGACGTAGCCCGACCTCGCCGTCTCGGATTCCACGGTCGACTATTAGCGAACCTAGGCCTTCTCACGCACCGCAAGGACCGCGAATTCTGCAGATTGCTTTTGCTTCCTGCTTCGTCGCGGCTCATTCTCCGGCTGCCGATCAACCGGTATACCGTTGGCTATAATCCTCTGCCTCGATGCACGGACGCGATGCCGGCAGATTAGGCGACCACGTTGGATAATGATTGTCGGATGGTTCCCACCGGTCGACCAGGATTCCTTCGGAACCTTCGGTGACAGCGTTCGCTGATTTACGCAGCGGCGACCGAGGGAACGCCGATCGATCCTGGACCTAGATTACGCTTTTGTACGCTGACGTGAGTTTCAATTTCGAGCGACAAATTGAGACTGTTATTTACTGTTATTTAATTGGTACCCGCCTGACATTCGATCGGAATCCGTGAACTAGAGTAGCGTAGTGTTCTTCATTTCACGATTTGAGGAGCGACGATTTCGTTGATTCGTTCGACTGTTGTACATCGTCTGTGAATAATTCGGAATGGATAGACCGAAGCGTCGGTATTTTGGTACAGTATTTTTTTAAAGTGCGTTTCGGCTGTCAGACTTTGCGCCAAGATGTTCTCGTCACGGTTCGTGCAATTTTTAACAAGGCGGATAACGGTCTTTTGACTCTAATTTCATACGTTTCGCCAGTGTCGAGCAACGCGGCCTACGTATTTTCGAAACCGTGAAATTCCTTCGCGATTGATCAGCATACACATAACGACGATATCAAATACAGACAGAGACAGTCTATTTTCGATAGGTTCAAATCAACAAGTCGTCAACGCCAAGTATCGCTAGTTGGACGAAGAAGAAAATTTCAATTTTTGAAAATACGGTTGTTACTGTCGTTCGTAAACTTGGTTCGCATCAGAAACAATGGGATGAAAAAAAATCATGCTCGTCGCACGAAACAAATCTCGAGGCGATTCAAGCTTCGTGCATTTCTACTTAAACGCATTACCTCGTAACAGGTGTAATTTTACGGGCCGTGCATCCTCCGAACGGTCTGTTTTCTTACCTGTTGCACTGCCTCTTGAGTTCCCGCCGGATACTGCTGCGCGTGCGGATGAACCTGAACGCTCCGCTGCCCAGCGAGCTCGCTCTTTTTTCTCCCTTCTCGAACATTGGCAGCCACTGCTCGGCCTGCAGGCCATTCCGCACGTTGTCATCCATATCTGTCTGACCGTCGGTCGGTCGGTCGCCGCCGTCGCCGCCGCCGCGCGGATTGTCCCTGTCCCGGTCTCTCTCTTTCTTCCTCTCTCTCTCTCTCTCTCTCTCTCTCTCTCGCTCAAAATTCCTCCGGGATCACTTCACCGCACCCTCGCGACGGTTCGTACCATCGCGACCGTGTCGAGAAATGGAACCGTCGAGTTTACCGCCTGCCGTCGTCTCATCGCAGTGTGCAGCAGCCTTTAACCTCTAACGGACTGGTCAAGTTTCTCTCGAGACGATGCCAGGTTTCTCTCTTGATTAAGCGAGCATCGAACCGCGGAAAGCAATAGTCGAGATGTTGATCGACCGATGTTCGATGGTATTCCGACGTTTGTCTCTATGTGTTCACGTTACCTCGTCGAGTAGAACGATCTGCTCGATCTGTCGCATCTCTCTCCGCGAAACGATTGTTTTCTGATCGACGGTGAGGGTGATCCGTGTTCTAAGTCAGTTGGCGAATCGAGTCGATGGCGGCACTCGCACGTTTCCGCTATTATCCCGCGACGAAATTACGCCTGTATGGACTGCCGCATGTTCCGTCTAGGCAAAGTATCTCCCGGTAGCCGCTCGTTGGATCTGTTGCTCTCGATCGCGATTTTCAGATTACTCATGCGCGTGGCGTAGGCCGAAGCGAATTACATAACGGCCATCCTTGTACGCACGTAGCGACGACGCGCGTGTGCACGCACGAGCCTCCTCGTGGCAGTGTAGCCGGTCTCGCGGCTCGCGCGACCGGTCTCTCGTCCTACCAGTCGACTTTGTCCAAACGATCGGCCGATGCCACCCTGCGCACCTTACCTTCGCACACACTGTGCCACGCTCTCCGCGTCCGTGTCCGTGTCGATGTCCCTCTACTTTTTGACGCTCGACAGAATCGAGCACGATGCTCTTCCACGAAATCGAATTTTCGGTGGTTAACGGTGTATCCTCCGGTGCTCCCCTTCTTCCACGAACATCTCCTCGCCTCGTCGAAACACACCGTGTAGGTACACGCTCCGGACGATGTTCTCCACGAGCAAAGTCTCTCTCTCTCTCTCTCTCTCTCTCTCTTTCTTTCTCTCTTTCTTCTGCTATTAGCGAAACTATTGCTGCAACCTCGGCGAATACGCGGAGAAACACGATCCACCGAGATAGCCAACCTCGTAACCGGCAACTCGCGATCTCGTATTTCGTGGGCTGACCCGGAAGTTTTCGCGCGGACGGTCACGAACGGACGCCATCACGATGCCGAATACCGCTGGTTTTCGTACCGTGCCGCACGATATGTTCCCTCACGATCCCACGCCGCGGGCTGATTTTCGGTCGGTCCGGTCGAAAGATCGCGACACACGCATTCTCGACCTCCTCATGGGATGGTCAGAGCCGACACGTTTGAATTTTCGGTGAAGAAGATTCGAAGAGGCGAGTTTCCTCGGCCGTCTCTTCTTCCCTCTTTTCTCTCTTGTTTCCAAACTCGAGAGGCTACGGTTCTCGAGAAACAGAGAGAGAGAGAGAGACAGCTGCGGCGGTAGAGGTTTAGGTTAGGTTTGGTCGAAGAGTCGCGTGCACTTGGCCGCTCGTTACCGCACTGGCAGGATGTTCCGGAGTGACGTTGAACGCGCGCTCGATGTGGAATACCGGCGTCGGTGCATCGGTTCACCGTTCGCGTTCACGGTACCAGCAGCAAATGTGGCCTCGAGTGGTAGCGCTCTGAAGCGACACCTGTGAGGAGACGCTACCCTCTTCCTCTTCTTCTCGTGCCTTCTTCCACGCCGCTGTGTTCGCCCACCTCCTCTGTCGGCCCCTCCTCCGCCTCCTTCCTCTTGTTTATCTCGATAACGACGGTACCGTGAACACCCTCGCCGCTGCTTCTAGATCGTTAAGGGGCATCGCTGCAACGTCAGTGAAAGGAGATGGCGATCGCCCTCGCGAAATTGCCACCGACGTCTCCCTGCAAATTTTTCCTTCTCCACCGTGTTCTTTCG